ATCTCATGACCCATTCGCCTCCCAAAGACCCCACCTCTTAACACCATCCCCTAGGAGGTTGGGATTTCAACATGAGTCTTTGGAGGACATAAACATGCAGTCCATAGGGGGCAGACCAGGCGCTCAGGCTTCATCCTGTGACCCAGACTTTGTTTCCCATAGGGAAAGGATAGGTCTGCAGAAGCACATTTTATAGACGTGAACACCAAGGTCTCTGCTCACTAGCTGGGTGACCTCAGGCAACAGTCTTTACTGTCAAACCTCAGTGTCCTCATCTGTAGAAGGGGTGTGAGGCTCTCGTGCCCACAGAGCTGATCTCTGTGGCCACCATTCTTCAGAACCACTCCCTGAGGGACCTATGACTCACATCCAATTACACATTACAATCAACACTCTGTCGGACACGTACTGTTCATACAGAAGCGCTATCCAAACTCCAGCCATCACTGTAAGTTTTCTCATCAAATTCTCCCACACAGCCCAACCAAGCCAGCCCTGTGACTGTCCCCGTTTTACAGACAAAAAAAATTGAGGTCTAGGGAGTCCAAGTGATCACCCAGCTAAGAGGATGCCAAACCTGTCGGGGTGACCCCAGAGCCTTCATTCTTAACTGGGGTCCCCTCAGACAATGCTGTTCTGTCTTTGAAGTGGGGAGATTCTGATCCGGCCTAATGACTTTACTTTTCAATGACTCAGTTTCCTCATAATAAAGTGGGATAATGGGGCGCCTGGGTGGCTCAGTGGTTTAAAGCCTCTGCCTTCGGCTCAGGTCATGATCCCAGCGTCCTGGGATCGAGCCCCACATCGGGCTCTCTGCTCAGCGGGGAGCCTGCTTCCCCTTCTCTCTCTACCTGCCTCTCTGCCTACTTGTGATCTCTGTCTGTCAAATAAATAAATAAAATCTTTAAAAAAATAAAATAAAATGGGGATAATAACAACAGTAAGAGTACCTAGCCCACGGCTGTCATGAGAATGAAATGAGTTAACTGATGGAAAATGTCCAGAGCCATGCCATCGAGGACAGAGATCACTGACCACATGAGGCTATTTAAATTTTAATTCATTAACACTACAGCAAATTAAAATTTAGTTCCTCAGTGACCCTTGCCAGAGTTCAAATGCTCAGTAGCCTCATGTGGCTCGTGGTGACCATTTTGGACAAGTGCAGACAGCACGTCTCCATCATCACAGCAAGTTTCCTCTGCCAGCACTGGCATGGAGCAATGCCCGACAAGACGCAAGCCTCCGCAACTGGTAATTGTATTATTATTAATCCTAGATCATTAGTTATTATGATTACACTATTATTCTATTACTGTTAGTCCTCTTTCTAGCCTATTATTACTTTATTATTTTTTTAAAAATGTTTTTATTAATTTGAGAGAGTGCGAGTGAGAGCACGAGCAGGAGGGAGGGGAAGACAGAGAGGGAGAAGCAGACCGCCAGCTGAACAGGGAGCCCCACACGGAGCTTGATCTCAGGACCCCGGGGTCATGACCTGAGCCCAAGGCAGCCGCTTAACTGACTGAGCCACCCAGGTGCCCCTATTTATTATTTTAAATCCTGTAACTGTTAAGTGCTATTATTAGTCCTGGGGCTGTTAACTCTGATTATATTATTATTATATTACGTTTGTTATTATTATTATTATTTAAGTTTATTATTTATTTATTTATTTATTTGACAGAGAGAGAGAGAGAGAGAGATCACAAGTAGGCAGAGAGGCAGGTAGAGAGAGAGAGGAGGAAGCAGGCTCCCCGCTGAGCAGAGAGCCCGACGCGGGGCTCGATCCCAGGACCCCGAGATCACGACCCGAGCTGAAGGCAGAGGCTTTAACCCACTGAGCCACCCAGACGCCCCTATTTAAGTTTATTTTTTTAGTCATCCCTACACCCAGCGTGGGGTGGGGCTTGAACTCACGACCCCGGGCTCAGGAGTCACATACTCTTCCCACTAAGCCAGCCAGATGCCCCATGTTACATTTATTATTAATCTTATTACTCTTCTACTGTTAGTTTTTATTTATTATTATTAATCCCGGTACCGTTTGCTATTATGGTAACTATGAATCCTAGACCTGTTATTATATTTATTTTTGCTACTAATATCTTACTGTTATTTTATATTTACTATTAATTCTGTAATAACTAACAGTGACTTATTATTTTTAACAAGATCTATTAACAGTTGTTACGTTATTATTCTATTGTTATTGATTTATTAATCCCATACTGGTTAACTTTTGTGTTGTTATCAGTACCAGTTGTTAATATCATGTTAATGGTATTAATAAGCATTTACTAATGTTGTCATTGGCTGCTGTTTCGTTACTGTTATTAATCCTGAGAGTCTCCAGCCCCTAGTTGGCAGGCAGTAGGTGTTCTCCCCAAGGGCGGTGGCACCTGCTGGCTGAGGCTACCTCCCTTGCTTCAGGGCAATTCGGATAAATCTCCTTCTCACTTTGGGCCCCAGGGACCTCTGAAGTGGGAGGAGCCACGGCGAGAGGAGGAAAATCGCAGTTCAGAGCGGGGGTGCTCTCAAATCTAGGGCAAGGCAACGAAAGAGGTGTTCGTTGTAAACCCGTTGCCTTTAGAAGGAAAAGCAGAAACAGAGTGAGAAGTCTCTTGCAGAGAGAGCATTGAAACAACTAACTTGGACTCGAGGGGACGCCTGGCAAGAAGAAATTAAGCGAGAAGGGAAACCACTTTGGGCCTCAGAGAAATCTGGCACGAGAGAAGGCTTGCACTGTGATTAAAAAGGGGAAGAACCACAAGTCTCCATTTAAGTCAGCAAAACTGCTGTCTGGGCAGTGAGAGGGAAAGTGCTTGTGGCTGGCAGCTTTCAGCAACCATTTGACAACTGCTGTGTACCTACTGCTCTGTTGGCGCCACCTGGCAGCTGTGTGACTGCAGGCAGGTAACTGCTCTCTCTAGGTCTCGGTCTCCCCAGACGCCATATAGAGATAATAATATGGAGTGATCGGTTTAGGCTTCCCAAATACCTCACCCCCCCTTGTCCCACATACTCAGATGCTGTGTGAATGTTACTGGAGCACCTTCTCATGGGTTGCCAACTCCAGACTTTGCAGCTCAAATCCAAACTCAACAGGTCCTTCAAAAATTCCCCGTGGCTCCCTATTGCTCTCAAGATAATTCCCAAACTTGATGCCAGGACCTTCAGGTTTCCATGTGACAGGCCTACCTTTCCAACTTCATCTCTTCCCATCTGTAAGCCTGGGTATCACACTGCCTTCTTGACTTTCCTCAAATGCACCAAGCTTATTCCCACCTCAGGACCTTTGCACTCACTGTTCCTTTGGCCAGGAATGCCCTTCCCTCAGACTTTATCATGCCCAGATGCTTCTTGCTACAGGATGGGGAAAGGAGTGGTCTCACCTCAAATGCTAGTTCCTCAGAGCGGTCCTCCCCAAGCCTCCAGTCTAAGACAGCCCCTTCCTACTGTCTATCTTTAACTGTTTTATCTTCCTCTCAATCCATTATCCCATTTATTCAAGTACTTATGCTGTGTGTCCCCTCACCAGAATGTCAGCTCCACAAGGGCAGCCTATTTGTCTGTCTTGTTCACGTCTGTGTCTCCAGCACCTACAACAGTGCTTGGCGCATTGGAGGCATTTAACAAGTATTTGTGGGAAAGCACATGTTCATTGCTAGAGGTCCTTCAAGGTTATGTGATTTCAAGGATCCTACAGCAGACCAGCCCTGATCCCCGTCTGGGTGGAGTCTGGAAATCCCCATCTTCTGGGGAACCCCTTTCTGCATCTCCAGGGGCAGAACTCAAGCCTGATGAACAAACACGCAGGTAGTAGTGCTTTCCCTTGGGCAATGCCCAATGCTAAGTGCTTTAATGCACTGACTCATTTAATCCCCACAGTAACCCAGTGGATTGGGTACTCTTACTATTTCCATTTCACAGATGAGGAAATTGAGGTATGGAGAAGTCAAGTCATTTGCCCAAGGTTAGTAAGAGGGGGAGGCAGCGGACCGGACAGTGTGTTGTCTGGGAAGGGGTGATGAGGTTCCTGCAAGCTTGGGGCCTAATCGACTAGTTTCCTGTTGTGGGAGGGAGAGAAGAGTAGACATTCCTCTCTCACCTCGCTGCCCCGTGTTGGGGGAAGGGCCCGCTGACTGTATGCTCCACCTCAGACTAGGGGGCACCCCACTGTCAACCTCACCCCACGTAAGGCCTGCAGAGAAAAATGAAAGCACGGGGGAGAGCAGAGAGGGAGGCCCAGAGGGCATGGGTGCCCGCGGTCCGGGAGGGCTTTCTGGAGAAAGATGTATTCCTGAGGTGTGGCCCCGATAGTAGTGGCTCAGGGGAGGTCGGTCTACCCAGGCACCAGCAACTGCAAGAGCAGAACCGAGGGTGGGGACAGAACCTGAATGGGCAGGGGATACGGCCGTGGCGGGTCGGTTCAGCAGAGTCGCGGATAGTCGGGGCCCGGCTGAGTTGGGATCCTTCCCCGGGGGGTGACGAAAGCTGTGGTCGCTATTGCGCGGACCCGCCGGGAGCGTGCAGATAAGGCCTTGCAGGAGGGAGTCGCAGGGGCGCGCCCCCTCGAGGCCAAGAGGCTCGACCCCTCCCCGCCCAGGCCCCGCCTCTCCTCCATCTGGCTACGCCCCCGAAGCGCTGAGGCACCTGGGGGTCTGCAGGGGCTAGGTGGGTGGGGCCAAGGTTGCCCCGCCCCTCGGTCGTTCATTCCCTTCTTTAGCCCTCGCGATGCGACCTCGGGTGGGCGAGGTGTGGGCGTGGCTTGGTAGGGCCCGCCTCTCTCCGAGCTCGCCTTCGAGACCCCGGGACCCAGTCAGCCGTGTCGGATGCGGATTGATGGGCGGGGCCAGGTCCGACCCCGCCCCTAGGAGCCGCCCCCGGCCGAGTCTGGCTCGGGGAAGGACCGGGGCGTGGTCTCTCCCCGTCCCGCCCCACCCTGGCCCCGCCCCTGCCGTGGCCGCCCTCCCCCGCCGGGCTCCGCTAGCACAGCCGGTTCCTCTTTACATAACGGCGCGAGGCGGCATGGGCTCGGGCCACCGCCTCCGCCCGGCCGCCCGCCCGGACTGTCGCGGCCCGTGGTGGCGACGGCGGCGGCAGCAGCCAAGTTTCCCCCGCGGCGGCCCGGGGGCGCATCCCCCCGCAACTGTCAAGCGCTGGCGGCGGAAATGATGAGGCGCTGGCCATTTTCCGAGCCCGGGTTTCCTGCCTGAGCCCCGCTCGAGCGAGCCGCGAGCCAGGAGCCGGCGCGCGGGAGAGAACGCGCCCGGGGCGGGGGCCCGCCCGCCCCCTCGAGATTTCGGGGGGCCGGGGGCGCGCGACGCCATGGGCCGGCCGGGCCCGGACCCCCTCTCTCTCAGGTAAGCCAGCCTTTCCTGGCGTTCCCTCCACCGGGTTGGGAGGGCTCTGATGGGGGAAGAGGAGGCCCCCTGTCCTGTTCTGCCCGGTGTCTGCGCACTCCCATAACAGCCTGAAATACTGTCCTGCCCCTGACCCGGTTGGGGTGTTCAGGGGCGGCCCTTCTCCAGCTCCTGCGACACCCTCCCAGACGACACCCCCACCCACACACGTGTTGGCGATGTAATAGGGGAGGCAGTGGGGAAGGCGCTGAGAGGGTATGGTTAATACTCCCAGTCTACCCCTTAAAGGAGGGCAGCAGTCCCCCTCAACTTGTGCGTGGTGAGGAGGGGTCCAGGGTCAAGCGCTTGGTACCTTGAAAGTGAAAGCAGTCAGACGGGGCTGTGAGGATGGAAGAGCCCTCTGGGAGTGGGGCCACCTGTCCCTCCCCACTCTACCAGCCCAGACCATGTGGCTATGAGGGTGTCTCTGGATTCTAGAAACTCTCTCCCCAGTCACCATGCCTCAGAGGTGGGCCAGGCCAGGTGCCCACAAGCTGCTGAGTTTGGGGTTTCCCAAGGGTTCAAGAGTCCTGGAGCTCAGTTCTCTTTGAGCTGGTGCCCTCACACCCCAGACCTGGAGCTCAGGTGAATCCTCCTATCTAAGAAAAAAAAAAAAAAAAAGTGGGTGGGATGGGGGTGATTTGCCTTTTAGGTCAGCATGGCTGGGAGGGTCATTTCAGAGGCCTTTAATGCTTGGTGCAGAAATCCCCTCCCTTCCCTCCCTCTGCCCATGGGGGCTTTTGGGATGATGGGGATTGCATTTGAGGAACTGGGGAGGGGGGCCTTCCTGCCTGTCCTGCCTTTTTTTTTTTTTTTTTTCTTTAATTTCCTCATTCTCCTGTTTCTCTTCCCCATTCCCGGCCAAGATGATGTAGGTGAGGAGGTCACTGCCTGCAGCTGGAGGCCTCCAGGGAGGGGCATGGCCAGGCCTGACTGAGTGGGAGGAAGTGAAATTGGGCTGCGGTGGGGGCTTTGGAGCAGAGGGCCTGGCAAAGCAATGTCCAGCTCTGGGGGCAGGATGGGCTGAGATCTGACCCCCATGCCCCTCTCCTGGGAGAGGAGCATCCTCTGACCCCCACCAGCTGCCAGGCTCAGCTAGGGCAGCCAGCCCTTCCTGCCTTCCCTTTTACAGTCCAGCTGCAAGGCCCCTGCCAGGCGATGGGCACATGGGTCTCCAGGGCTAGGGGCGAGAGTCATGTCTGGCTTTCTCATCACTGACCTGGCTGCCAGAGCGGAAACAGCTCTGAAGGCTCCCTGGGGCTGCGGGGGCTGGAGACCCAGCCCTAATTGGGGGGAGAGAAGGCAGAGGCCGCCCGGGCGGGCTGGGGTCAGCCGATGAGAGGCCAGGGCCCGCTTGGGAAGTTGGAAGGGTTTTTAATACACTTTTTCTGAGCTTTTTCCCACAACCCTCCTCTGGGAGGGAAAATCCTTCTGAGCCAAAGGGTGAACATTCCTAGAACTTGAGCGAGTCCCTGTGGACCACAGAGACAGCCAGCTGGGAAGGAGTTGGACTGAAGTACCAGCTGCTGGGGTCTGAGGACCTTCAGGGATTTAGCAGTGGGAGAGGAGGGTTCTGGAGGCGGAGGTTCCATGCTCCCACTGCTTCTGTCCAGCTGAGGGCATGGCCAAGTGACACCTGTGAACCTCAGTCTCCCTCCCCCCCCCCACCATGTGAAATGGGATAATAACAGGTTTATGGTAGGGATTTAATGAGTCATTGTGTGAGAAGCACCTGCTGCCTGGCAGAGAAAAGGTTCAATTACAGGTGGTGGTGGTTATTTTATTATTATCATTACCATCATTATCATGATTTTCCTGGCTGTGGAATGTTTGTCCATCAGCATCCCTCGAGCATCTCCAGCACGTGTGCGGCTCTGGGGGGGTCCTGAGTTTTTAGGAGAAGAATTGCAAAGATGCAGGCAGGATGAGGGGATGGCTTCCTGGCTACAAAGCCTTGCTTAACTATCCCGGACTCAGTTTCCTTGTCTGTCAAATGGGTGTGATCAGAGTACTTAATTCTTAGGGTCATTGGAACCATATGAGCGAATTTGCAAAGCGTTTAGAACATTTTGATCAGGAGTGATAATAGTAATAATGATGAGACTGTTACTGTTTGTCGTGGATGTTAGCTCTGATTGTTCTCCTTCCTGATCCTCTGTTTTCCCTCCCCCCTCTCCCCTGCTGTTCCTGTAAACCCTGGACTTAATCCTTCCTGATACATAGAACTTTCTAGTACAAATCAGATTCTGTAGAACCACTCCAGATATGGGGGGAGCCTGGGCCCAGCAGACACAGGTAACCCTGAAGCAGGTCAGCCTTTGGGGGCCCTTGGATATCTTGGTCCAGCCGTGTTACCCCAGGACACCCTCCACCTCCTGGATGGAACCTCCCCAAGGACAAAGGGGGCAGGGCTGGAGGCACTTGGAGAGACCTCCCAGTCCCAGTGCAGCCCACTTTGGGGGTTGGGGGAGGTATGGAGATGCACATAAAGCAGTCAGAGCTGGGCCTCCCCTGATGATAATAGATGAGGATATTATTATTAGTATTATTAAATGAGTTGCCTCTGCTGTTAAATTCCCATTTCTCCTTGGTAGCAACATGGATTTTGGAGCCAAATCCAGGATCTGCCAGGTTCTAGCTGTGAGGCCTAGGGCAAATTATCAGACCTCTCTGGATTGCATCTGCCCAACGGGGACCAAGAGTCTTTGCCTTTCAGGGGTATATGAACCTGCGCGTAAGGTAATATATGGAGTGTGTGAGCCCAGGGCAGTGTAGGGACTTGAAAGGCGTTGGCTGTAATTGCTATGGCTCTGTGCCCCTGGGCTTGTCCCTTAACCTCTCTGAGCTCTGCTGTCCTCCTCTATGACAAGGGAGTACTAATGACTGGATTGTATTGAAAAGAGGCATGCATAATGCCTGGCAGGCAGTTGGTGCTCAATAAGTGTGAGCTGCTACTGTGAGTGCCCTAGAGGGGGCTAACACTTCATTGGTTTCCTGGGAAAATGGTCCCAAGGGCCCCCCCCCCCCCCGCCCCGCCGGTGTTCAGCATCTTTGGCTGGGCGGGGCAGGAAGCTGCTTCCATCTGGCAGATGGGAGAAGCCTGCCTCAGAGTCCAGAGGTGTAATACAAGTTTCTTGTTCCCAGCCAGACCCTGCTCCCAGCTACCCGCCCTCCCTGAGGAAACTGAGGCGGGCAGTCTGCCCAGGGGAAGTGACTCAGCTGGGGTCACTCGCTGAGTCAGGCTTAATTGGACCCAGGAGCCCTGCACCCCAGCTCCCTGGCTTCCGGGGGCCTGTAGTCCCTTGGAAACTGGGCAGGTCCAAAGGCCACAGCTGGACACCCGCTCACTTGGGTCCTGTCCCCTGGGCAACCACCACCATTCCTCAGCCGGGGCTCTGAGGTCCCACGGACCACCCCTAGGCTTCGCAACCTGGTATTCTTCTTCCCAGCAAGGGCAAGGGGCACTTCCCCAGGAGAGCAAGTCCTCCTTGAGTCCCCCAGCCCCGCCTCAACCGGAAACTCAGCAGCTGAGCAGATGGCTGGAAGATTTGTCCTCCCACGCCACTCTGTCCGGGGTCGGCGAGGGGGGCCAGGCTGCAGGCTTCCTCGTGAGCCAGGCCGTGAGCCCCTGGGGGCCTGTCCGGATGTGGGCCCCCACCCCGGTTGGCGGGGAGGGGGGCAGTGAGGGAGGGCAGCCTGCCCCTGCCCCTTGTGTCCCCAGGGAGGCCTGGGAGGGAGGAAGTCTGCCCTGCTCACCGGGAGCTGACTCACAGGGTGCCTGATGGAGATGCCGGCCTTGGGGAGCTGGAGGACTGGAAATGTGACTGGGGGAGGCGGTCACAAAAGAGGGCCTTGGGCATGAATACGCCCTGAGAGCCGGCCTCTCATGGGACAGGCCAGAGAAGGTGAGGAGTGTGGGGAGAGGTTCACCTCTCCTGACACCACTGCAGGGTTCAGGACACCGAGGGGCTGTCCCCTGGGTAGACTCTCAGCCTTCTCAACTCAGGGACAGTGAGAAGAAGTCACATGCTGGTATGGAGGGGTGGTGCTGGGGCTGGGGAGTACTGCCCGTTCTTGGGGGGATAGTCTCTGGCTTTCTCCTGAAGCCTAGCTGGGTAGGTAGTTGGGGTGTCAGGCTGGGCGTGGGGACAGAGGACTTGAATGTCCCTGGGCACTAGGTGACCCCAGAGAGGGTGCCTCAGGACTCCACAGACTGCTCAGTGATATAGGGCAGAACCCACCTCTCAGCCTCCCCAGGACCTCAGAACCTTGATTCCCTACATCCCAGGGGCTTCTCCACAGTCTGGACAGCCTGAATGGTGTGAGAGGGCAGTGGGCTGACTCCCAGGCGTGTGTGTTGGAATCCCCCCAACTCTCTGGGCTTCCTTGGGCAGAGGGTCTGGGCTGCTGGAGAAGTTGGTGCTGTAGGTGGGAAAGGACAAAATGCTTGCTGTGGCCTATAGTCAACCTGGAGGCCTCCCTGGAGGAGGTGTCTCCCTCTGAAGATATGGGACTTCCTGCCCAAACATCTGTGAGCTGGGGGCAGGGGAAGCTGTGGACCTGGGGGAGGATGGAAGCTCTGGACTGGCTCATTTTAACTTCATTTACCACAAATTAAACTGTCCTCTCCAAGCCTTGGCAGGTGGAATTCCCACAGGTGGGTAAAGATCTTGTCTGCACCTGGGCCTCATAATTAAGTGGGAAATGTTAGCTTCCCCAGATTACACTGTTACCCAGGTTGATGGGATAGAGGAGGGGCTGAGGAGCCCCAGTCTCTGGGGTCATGGGCTAGAGTGGACCCCACAGTTCAGATTCCCTGCCTAGAGCCAGGATTCCCAGCTGTTCAGCGCCTCATTTCTCTCCAACTTGGTAGAGGCTCGAGGGTTGCTTAGGCTGGATCTGCTTCAACGGGGGACACCAAGCTCGGGCTAGGGCTTTTTTTTTTTTTTTTTTTTTTTAGA